AGATGTAGTGTTAAACAAATTAGCATTGTTGTGAATGTTATTTCTAAGTCTCCTCGTTCAATGTGCTGTGACATTTACGTAATTCTTGGTTTTAAAGAAATATTTTGTCCCATTTTTGCCCTATTTGTATAGTTTGTCATTAAAATCGTGTTGTTTCCCCAGCTTTGGAAGGGACCTGTTATTTCCCCTGTTCATATGGCTTGCAATAAATGTAAAACGTTATAGACTTTTTTCTACTTTAAATTGTTCACCAAAATATGTTGAAAATATTACTTGTGAAAACTTATTATGTTAAGAGTATGATTGCTTATTATCAACAATTTGGTTTCCTTGTAGTAGCGAGTGTCCTTACTCGAAACCAATTAGATGTGGTTTATTTTGACTACAAAGGCTTTTTATAACATATTGATGATGAAATATTGTTACTTAAGCCTTTTATTATGGATCTGGTGGATATATTGATTGCTTCTCGTCTTATCTGATTGGTCGATCTAATATTATGCGTAATATATTTCGTAGCCATATTTTTCGTAATATTTCAGGGATCTCTCAATCCTCTAATTTAGACCCATTATTTTTTAATCTATTTGGCAACATTAATTTAATGGAAATGTGATTCAGTGCTCCAATGTTCTGCACCAAGTTGACTGTAAATGTCACCAAGGTATTTTCTAAATTCATGGTTCGCGTGCTTGGACTTACGGTTCCAATAGTTCAAACTTTGCAACTCATTACCACTAAAACGCACTCCGCAATTTGATGCCGCGGGAGCTTTCTAAGAATTACGGACAAGAGCCTTTCCCCTGGTTTATTAGTTCAAAATTAAGAACATCTGTACGAAAATAGCTCTTCTGTAGCTTTCTGTTAAAATTTTAAAACAAACCAAGACCGTATTAATTTGCAGTTGGATATGAATTCCATTTTCAACTGGTACTGTGGCAATGGTTGTCTTATTAATTCAAAGAGTGTTTCATTTCCTCGTAAAACTACTTCTGTACTATTTGATCATCACAGCTATATAAATATAATAGTACTATCTATTGTATGTCCATGTAACTACTTCGCAGGTTGTGGCTGGTTTTTCAAAGTTGCTTTGGAGGCTAATTAGGTCCAGGAGGGGTACATAAAAATTTTCACTTTTGCATTTTGCGGTTTTTACCACTACTTCGCTCTCTTTAGATGGACTTTCACCAAATTTGGTATGAAGGTTCATTGGGTCTATGGGGAGATAAATGCAAAGTTGCGGTTTTTTACCACTATTTCGCTCTCTTTAGATGGACTT